CTTGCCGATATTTTGTCAATAGCTTATCGATGGATTGTCAGTAGTTAACCGACAGTTCGTCAATGACTCGCCGATAGCTCATTAATATCCCTTCAAGATCTCATCGATAACCCCTGGTAAGTTCATCGATATTTCATCCATCTCTATTATCAAAATCGATAACTCATCGTTTATGACTAGTCAGTCGTGATAACCAGCCATGACTTATCTTAAATATATATAAACGTACCTTTTAAAACACATCACCACACATCTACCTCTTCAATATTTTTCCCTCTCATGTGAACTATTTCACAAAAGCCATCATTTGACATTTTTGCATTTTCAACAACTGGGACACGTTATCCTAACGGACAACTTTTACCTATCTACAGGTGAACAGACCAACGAACAGAGAAAACCATTTCCCAACTCCAATTGTTTGCTTTGGCAAATCTTTTGATAACCATTGTCCGATTATAAATCATCCAACCGAGCGACATACAAACCTAAAAACCAAAACAAACCAATTGTGTTCGACAATAAGTATATCACTTGGTCATCTATGGAAGTTCCTCGTTATGTTGGTGTTCCAGAGCAGCACCCCTTCGAGCAACATTTCACAATAATGGAAGATTTCACAGGACAGGACGTTTTTTTTTTCTTTCCTGCCCTGCCTTATTTGCCAATTGACCGGAAATTGGGTCTAATTGTGGTATATCATATGTGTTCGAATGTGTGCGTGGGTGAGTGAGAGAGAGAGTAGGTTTATATATCAAATGGTACCGAGTAGGTTGTGGGATTGTTGTTAGTTAAACATATATAAAATGCACCGGATGCATGCATTGGCCAAAACGTTTTTTTCGCATTCGATGACAATAATAATTGTAAACTCTTGTTCGATGCATTGTTATGGGGGCTTGCTCTTATTCTAGAAAGGACTTCATGGATAATGTTTATGAATTGCCAGGGTTTTAATACATTTTTGTGTTACGATTAAGGTATGAAAAATTAATACTGCAAGCATATATAAATAATTTCTTTATTTAGAAATATTTCTGTAGAAGTGGTAACCAAAACGAAATATAATTTTTCAAAGCTAAGGAGGTTTTCCATAAGTTCCGAAAAATATAACTTAAAAATACTTGGAAATTATTTAATATAATTTTATTGACAGGCTTGTGAACTCTTGTTGCTTTTAACTCACTCACTCACAGACCCACAATTCTTGTTATAAAGTCGTTGAATATTCACAATTTTATTAAATAAAAATAAATAAAAAATTTCAATTTTTATAAAAAAAAAATATTTAAAAAAATTAATTTTTTAAAAAAATCTTTAAATTTATAAAAAAAAATTGAAATTTTTTCATAACTTTTTAAATTTTTTAGAAAAATCGCAAATTTTAAAAAATATATCTATTTTTTATGTATTTTCAATACTAAATTCAGGAGAGTTCTGAAAACAACAAAGTATAACTATAAAGTCTTTTAAACATAACCTCAATTTTAGCCAGGGCTTAAAAAACATCTACGAAAATCAAAAACTTCACTATTCCAGTGAAACCATTTAAAATATTTAAAAAAATCGACTACTTGTAAACAAAGGGTTTTGCGATATTGAAAATTCAAAAATTTTATTCAGTAATACATTGTAAAATCAGTAAGGAAAGGTCAAAAGTCAGTCGAGCCAACTATGTGATTCCCTACACCACTATGCATCTTTGGTAGAGCTCATGTAACAGAATAGTTTATATTGGGAATTTATGTGAAGTAGGTCATAACAACTGTGAACCTTATTTGAATGCGTATCATGGCAGAATCCAACGCTGAATCGATTAAAAAAAAAAAAATATGGAAGTTTTTGTACCTCAGTACAAAATAACTTTGCTGTAAAGTGCATGATTTGACTTCTATAGGAATTATATTAAAAATACTTATTAGAGCAATAGACAACCCAACCAATTTTTACCAAATGGCAAAAACTATGACTATGAAAAAATTTATCCAACATGGGCCGATATTATAATATCTGAACCGATCTCGATAAAATTTGATAGAGGTATTTCTAGGCTGTATCTGGTACCAAATATTATTCTTTTGTGACGGACTTAAACACCACATCGTATGAAACATATATGTGATAGCCATAGCTATATCTGAACCGATTTTCTCCAAATTGCATGTTTCTGTTTCTAGAATGAATTCAGTCGCAATTGCCTAGATTTAGATCATGTGGACTGATATTAGTCACTTAGTGCAAAATAAACCTGAAATCGGATAAAGATATGGATCGGATAAAGAAATGGATCACCGGACCGATTTTCACCAAATGGTAAAATTCGATTGAATATGAAATAATCTATTTAATTTGGGCTAATATTACATATATAGTGAACCGATCTTGATAAAATTTAGCAGAAGTATTTTTTTTTTAAATTTTATTGAATAAAAGCAAAAAATGTCGGAAATATTTCAAATTTTAGAATAAGTTTAGATTTTTTCGAATTGGTCACCTTTGGCACAAATTATGACCTTTAAACGGCCAATGAAACTGTTACACGCTGCCGGAATGTTGCTCTGCGGTATTTTAGTCCATACCCGGGGAAGTGCTTGCTTGAGGTTATCGACACTTTGGTATTTTTAGTGCCAACCTTGCTTTCCAAAATATTCCAGACACAGTAGTCCAACGGACTGGTATCCGGAGATTTTGATGGCCATTGTGAGCTGGAAATGAAGAGAGGAACCTCATTTTGTAACCATTCTTGGGTGACGCGTGCTGAGTCTTGTTGGAATGTCCAAGGTCTGCGGCCAAAATGTTTGCGAGCCCAAGGCTATAATACACACTCCAGAATATTTTCACGATAATATTCGCCATTTATTATGATGCCACGTCGAGTAATACGAGCGGAGAGCCATCATTGGCTGTTATGGCGGCCCACACCATCACTATGGCCGGGGCTTAAGTTCTGGTGGCCAACCGAAAATGTAAATTTTCAGCTGACCTCTTTGGCATGTAAACACGATCATTTTGTTTGTTTAGAGACCGCTGGACAACGAATGTTTTCTCACCAGAGAAAACCAAATTCGGCAGTTCACCACTTTCGGCCAAGCGAAGCAACTCTTTAGCTCTTTTGAGTCTATTTTCTTCCTGTTGCGGTTTAAATTCCTGCACTTTTTAGAATTTCAATGGCTTTACCCCGACCTCATTTTTTAATATTTACCGAATAAAATATTGCGATATGTTTGCGCTCGGCCACTGCGATGCGGATTTTAATCAAGTCGCTTCTTTACTTTTCGAACCATTACTGTTGATGTTGCAGTTTTCTTGCGTCCACTTCCTTGACGTCGGGCTACGTTACCAGTATCACGATAAATAATATAATGAGCTGTCACTGGAAAAATTTTAACAGATGTCGGACGAGTGGCTAAGAAATGGCAGCAATTTTTTCATCTCACCCTGTGTTATTCTACACGTTATATATCGACGCACCTCCGTCCACAAGAAGTTGACCGAATTGTTAATTTTCTAACCTGATTTAATGTATGAAACAAATCTAACCAGATAAGCGGATAGAACGTTAGGCAGACGGACATAACTAGAACGACTCTAAATATCCAGAAGTGGGTTTCATCTATAATTTCTTTGGTGTTGGAAAGTCTCACGTTTTAAGAAAACCTTCCATGTCTATCGATTTAGCAAATTTTTAAATATTCAGAGTTTTGGAAGGTAGCAGCAAGGTCTTAGTGAGAGCTGATTAAAATCTACAACATAACAAAATTGATGTTCAGATTAGAGTGTTAGAAATATTATTTTCTATAGAAAACATGTCACTAGGAAGTCCCATAAGAAGGCCTTCTATCTGCAAAAGGCCTATAGTGAGATTTTCATACCCTGCACCTTTGAAATGAGGGTATATTAACTTTGTCGTTCCGTTTGTAACCTCCCTAAATATTCGTCGTAGACCCCATGAAGCATACATCATCAGCGTAACATGTTAAGTCGATTTAACAATGTTCATCTGTCTGTCTGTCGAAATCACGATACAGCCCACATTATTTGACGTAGAGCGTCAGAATTTAGCAAAACAATTTGTATTGTGTCTAGGATGGTTGGTATTGAAAATAAGATATATTGGTCCACGTTTTTGTACGATCTCCATATAACAGTACCTCCCGATATTCGGTATTTTGATGATTTTTGGCACTTTTTCCCACAGATTTGTCTGAAAATTAGTATTTGTAGATCATTATGGGTCCTAGTTCGTGCGGTGAAACATTCTATATATATGGCCACGCTTTGTTATATTCCCCATATAACGGTACCTCCCAATATTCGGAGTTTTGATGGTTTTTGCCACATTTTTCACTGATTTGTTTGAAAATTGGTAGTTTTAGGTCATAATTGGTCCTAGTTTGTAAGGCGAAATATTGTATGTATAGGTCCACGCTTTGTACATATTCGGTATTTTGATGATTTTTGCCACATATCTTCGCGGATTTGTCGAAACATTGGTATTTGTGGGTCATAATGGGTTCTAATGTTTCCCTTACCCTAAGGTGGAGGGTATTAAAAGTTCGGCCCTGCTGAACTTAAAGTTTTTTACTTGTCTCCATTAGTTCATTACGCTCTTTCTATCATTAAATACCTTTTAGTGTTTAGGAGATTTATAACCTCACATAGCAACTCTTTACCTCCCACGTGTGGCAATAACCCAAATACCCTTATGTCCATCAATCAAATGCAATTAAACTTTAATTTTTCTCTCCGTGATGCCACTTTTATCGCTGCGGTTGAAAGGCAATTTTCATTTCAAGCCGAAATCAAATCGAAGTCATACAAAATTGATTGAAAATGAAAAATCACAACGACTATTTGCAGGTAATAGTCACATTTATGTCAATGAATTAATGAGTCGGTTGATTTGAAAATTAAGTGCAAAACTCGAGAAATTTGAAATTCTGATAAAAATTTAAATTTTAATTGTTACTAAATGCCACTTTTCTCTATTCTCTTTTTAGTGAAACACCAAAAATAAATATTACAACGTAAAGCATGAAGATCAATGAAAAAATGGCGACTCCGATAGAGGAAAAAGTTGATCAAAATTTAAAGGTAAGTTTGAATCTAGAAATTTAAATAGTAACTAATTGACTGACTGATCTAGAATCAACGCACAGAGGCAACGGCTGAAGCTAGAATCTAGAAATTTTGCACGAGGGCCAGTATTGGTGTGCAGGCGTGTGTTTTAGGAAATTAGTATTGAAGGGTACGAAAAGTACTAAAAAAGTAAATACCTTGTCTTGACAAAAAGAATGAGCAAGAATTCTAAACTTTGAAATGAGAGTCACTGATGAAGTGCAGCATAGATGTACCAAGGGGATTTTGGAAATTTGAACTTAAAGGTTACGAAAAGTTCTAAAATGTTAATATACCTCTAAAATGGTACCATTTGGTATTATGTGAACGGATAGAACTAATTTGGTACCTGAAAGTAAGTTTGATACTTAAAAGTTGTTTTGTAAATATGTACTAAGAGTGCGAACTGTACAAAATCGTACTAAATTTGTAAGAGTTTGGTTTAGGGTAAACAAATGAAGCTGGCATTTTAAAAAGTTTTATTGGGCCCTCCTTGATATTAGGCAGGTGATTTAAAATGCGTACTATAAGTGCACGACAAGTTCTAAATAGTACTATATTTGGTATATTTTGATATTTGGTGAACAGACTGTGCTTAAAATCTGAAATTTGATATAAGAGCACCAAGGTGATTCCGGGAATTTGTACTATAATTGTACGAAAAGTACTGAATGGTACTATATTTGGCATCGAGTGAGGGGATAGAGATAAAATTCTGAAATTTAATATTTAGATTGCTGCGTCCGATATTTGTACGAAAGGCACTAAATGGTACAAAAGTTGCTATTGAGTGAAGGAATAGGTATTGGGATAGCCAAAGATGTTAAATATTTAGGTTTCTTTTGGAATTGAGATATGGAGGTGGTTTTGGAAATATACAGGGTGAGATAAAAAAAAACTGCAACTAAGTCAAACAACATAATTTTTACATTTTTTTAAATTTTATTGAATGAAAACAAAAAATGTCGGAAATAGCATCAAATTTTAGAATAAATTTAGATTTGTTCGAATTGGTCATCTTCGGCACGAATTATGGCATTACCCCGAGCTCGTTTTTCAATATTTGCCGAAAGAAATATTGCGATATGTTCAGCTCACGAGCCATTTTTCGGCCACTGCAACGTGGGTTTCTATCAAGTCGCTTCTTTACTTTTCGAACCATTACTGCTGATGGTACTGTTTTCTTCCGTCCACTTCCTTGACGTCGGGCTACGCTACAAGTATCACCGATAATGAGCGATGGTAGGAGACACAAAATATTTATTCACATTTAAATGCTGAAGTGCTCTAACGATAGCCACTTGTGGTTTTCCAGCCAAATATAGAGAAATCACACTATCACGCTTGAATTCCATCACGAATAAGTTTATTTCTGGAAAATTAATAAGCAATATAATAAGCTGTCACTGGAATAATTTTAACATCTGTCAGACGAGTAAAAATGAATAAAACCTCCTTTCGAAGGTGGAGGGTAGCGAATTGTATTTCAATCTTGATGTAATTTCACTAGTCTGTGGAAATTATTCTAGCTTCCGAACGAAATGAAGTAAGTTGATAAAAATTTACTAAAATTTGTATTATGTCTGTAGGAAAGGTTCACGTCTTCGTATAGCCCCCATATAACGGTACCTCCCGATATGCGGTATTTTGCGATTTTAGCGACATTATTTACCGGAATTATTGCAATTTTGGTATTTGAAGTTCGTAATGGATACTACATCCTAAAACAGGAAATAAGCCATGTAGGTCCACGTCTTCGTATAGTCCCCATACAACGGTACCCCCGATATTCGGTATTTTGATGATTTCAGCAACAATAGTTACCGGAATTGTCTCAAAATTGGTATTTAAAGTTCGTAATAGATACTACAGCATAAACCAGAAAATGTGCCATGTAGGTCCACTCTTCGTATAGCCCCCATATAACGATACCCCCGATATTCGGTATTTTGATGATTTTAGCGAAATTATTTACCAGAATTATTTCAAATTTTGTTTGAATTTTGTTTGAAGTTCGTAATTGATACTACCGCCTATGCCAGAATATTGTCTGTGCAGGTCCACGTTTTTAAACCCCCCTCCCCATTTTCGGTCTTTTGATGATTTTAGCTTCATTATAAACAGCTTTTTTTCAAGTTTCGCATTTGAATATTGTAGTAGTTCATGACAAAAATTGCCTATATAGGTCCACGTCGTGATATAGACCCTATTATACGTCTACATTCGGTATGTTTAAGATTTTAACAAATTTTTAATTTAATTTTTAAATTTTATTTATTTATTTATTTTTTTTTTTTTTGAAAATTTCCATATTTGTACCAAATGGTGGAGGTTATTCAGAGTTCGGCCCGGCCGAACATACATCTTTTTACTTGTTTTTTTATATATATTTCACATTTTTTTCATTTCTTTACTTACAGATCCGCACAGGGATGGTAAATGTCAGCGATGGCAAATGCAAACCAGAGCCCCTGAGACTGAATTTGACGATGGAATTAGTGACGTTACAGAGATTGGAAATTGTCACACCCACAAATGCACAAAATGGTCCACCCAGTGAATCAAAAGTAAGTCTCATTTATGTAAATTTCAAGCCCCTATTTATTTTTTAATTAAATCAAAAAAAAAAAACTAAAGAATTCCCCCTTGATTTGTGCACACAAACGATGAACAATAAAAATTATTTTTTTCTTCTCAAATAATAATAAAACATAATGTCACATTCCTATTCTGGGATAACTGCAAAGGATACATATATGCATAAAGTAAATCTCGAAAAACAGTAAAATATATTAAAACAAATTAGCCGTCACCGGAATTATGTAAATTATTCATATTAAATTTATGATAGTCGAAGGAATTTCTCAAAAACCAGAGGGGCGGCAACTGTAATATGAGATACTATCATGTGTGTGTGTGTGTGGTTTCTGTTTACATATTAAGTCAGGTGTTTGGCATTTTGCTGCTCGCGGAGTAAGCTACAATTTTTTTTCTCATAGCAAATTTATGAATATTAATGAATTTATTAGTGTAAATTGCTGGGGTGAAATGGAAACCGCTAATTTAATATATGCGACAATCTGGTATATATTAAATGATATTTAATATACATTGGGGTAAAATTTTTGTGAAAAAATTTAATTGCACACATAAAGATACAAAAATGAGTAATATGAAGTTAAAATATATAGGCGCCTTCTATATTTAAAGATTTCTTTCAAACTTGGATGGTATTCAAAGATGGACAACATGTCAATTGTGAAACAAGTGACGGCTAATGCTTCTTTTTTCTTTGAATTATTTTTAAAAACAAGTGAAACCTTTTGAGGCTATAATTTATTTGCTACGACCTAAACGTCCCTCATCCCTCAACGAATTTGGACTATAGGTCTTTTTAGACCAAATCCGTTTCAGGACACATGAAGTCGATCTAGGGGTGTCCGTGCGTCTGTCGGGCTGGTGCGCATTATAACTCTCGAAGGGTCGATTTTGATCCAAACTTGGTAAATGGTAATATTATTATCAAGCTAAGATTGAGTTCGGAGATGGACAATAACGGTCCACTCCTTCAGGTACCTCTCCCAGTACAGGTCAACTTTTTCAAGAAAATTGTTTACTTTATATATAGCAAAAGGATCATCCAGTTTTGTTCAAATTTTACAAATTCCAATATTTGTAGCACTGCTAGGTCAAATGTGAAAATAGACAATGTTGGCCCACTCCATCAAATAATCTTATAAAATGTTAAATAACAATCTCTCAATATTAGTACCAACATGAGAATTGAAATAAAAAACGGTTAAAACGTACAACTCGTTCTGGTACACCCCAACAACCCATCACAATTTTAAAATAAACCATTTTCTATGAATTTAACACATCCCAATATTTCTACTAACACAAGATCCCGCGTGAACGTGAAATATATAAGACCCCCCCCCCCCCCCCCCCCCCTCTTTGTACCTCGCCCACTACGGGACAATATTTTTGAATAATTATAACTCTCATAAAATGCGAAATAAGCATCGGATTCTCCCCAAAACATATTCCAACACAAGATCTGGTGAGAAGATGATATAAATCTACCCATCCCTTCTGGTACTTCTCCCATAAAGGGTCACAATTTTGAATACTTATATCCCTCTTAACTTGCGAAACAAGTTAACGATTCTTTTTATACTTGCTACATCTAAATAGTTCTCTCATTTTCACATCTCAAAACTTTTATCAGCTTTATATAAAGTGGAGTACTTTGGTCCACTGTATGTGGTACTTCACACACATTCCCGGTCCTCTAAAGACAAAAGAAGACCCTTCACATCCTCCACAGACAATTCAAGACTTATAGTTACTTTATAGAAAAAATGTAATATTTCCAGATCTCCCATAGACAATATAATTTCTGCAGGCTATCTATGGACAATAGAAGACCTCCACGCATTCTATGGACAATAGAAGATCTCCAGACATTCTTTGGACAGAGGACCTCCAGGAATCTATAGACAATAGAATACCTCCAGGTCTTTTTAGAGAATAGAAAACCTCCAAGTATTCTACAGAAGACCTTCTTTAGACAATATAAGACCTACACGTCTTATGTAGAGAGTAAGAGATCTTTAGGTCTTCAAAAGAAAATAGAAGACCTCCAGTTCTTTCCAAAGACTATAAAAGACCTCCAGGTCTTTTAAAGATAGTATAAGAAAACATCCAGGTCTTCTGTAGACATTAGAAGAACTCCAGGTCTTCTGTAGACATTAGAAGAACTCCAGGACTTCTATAGACATTAGAAGACCTCCAAGTTTTCTGTAGACAAAGAAGACCTCCAGTCCTTCCGTAGACAGTAGAAGACCTCCAGGTCTTCCGTAGACAGTAGAAGACCTCCAGGTCTTCTATAGACAATTGAAGATCTCCAAGTCTTCTGTAAAAACCACCAGGCCTTCTTTAAATAATAGAAGACTTCCAGGTCTTCAGGTTTCTTAAGTCAATACAAGATGTCCAGGTATTCTATAGACAATGGAAGACATTCAGAATGACCTCCTGGTCCTCCAAAAACAATAGACAATATAAGACCTCCAGGAATCTATAGAGACTGGAATACCTCCAGGTCTTCTATAGACAATAGAAATCCTCCATGTCTTAAATAGACAATAGAAGACCTCCATTTTGTTGTGTTGTAACAAAATTCTCTCCTTGACTTTGACACTTTCTCTCTGTTCGGATAATTCCGAGATTTCTTATTTACTTAAGAGTTCCCATTTGGCATACTTAAAATCCATCGCATTTGCAATGTTTATTAGAATACGCCCAACGTTATTAATATTGTTTTTTTTAGTTATTAGTAAAATTTTTTAACCCATTCCATTTTACCCTCCGGATTTTACTTGTTGCTAAATACTTTAATTTTTACCACCTTCACTTTTTAACCGATATAAAGAAAAAAATAAATCCAGGTTTATATATGGCCCCCAATAAAATTAGCTCCCAATTTTAGATTAATTAAGAGGTTTTGAATATTTTAAATTTTCTACATTTTGATTTTATGGTTTCTCATCATCCATACAAAAATTTTTTAACGATAAAACCTTCTTTATTTCTGAAAATCTTCCAAAATGGATATAATTTTAAATGTTTTATGACCTATAGAGCATAATTTTGGCTTCATATATGAAAAGAAACTAGTGTAACAAGAAGTTATCAGTATTGGTTATTTAACTGAGTACACTTTTTTAATATCCCTCTCCACTCATTTTATTCCTTCTTTTGTTCAAGAAGTTACCACATGTCTCCTATTGTCGTCGACAGTCTCCACCTATCTCCTACCAACAGAAAATGTATCCATTACGACATGTATTCAATTTAAAATCCAATTAACTTGTTAAAATGTCTTGACATATTTGACAGTTGAATGCTTTAATTGAAGCATATGAAAATAATTAATACATTATTTCATTATTATAAAACTTAAGCCTTCCTATCTTCACAAATACCGGCAGCAGAAACCTACACCAACAATCACACCCACCAATCCAAACGTGGTTCTCGCATTCATGCGTGACTTAAATTCCCACCTTTAATACTTAATATGAAGAAATTTTTATACACAAAATTTCCTACCAAGGTTCCTACTTTGTTTCCATTTTCCCTGGAATATTTTCCACGGTCTGTGGCCCTGTTGTTCTTGTTGTAGTTATTGTTGACTCTAAAGTTAAGCTCATTACATTTTCAACACCCTCCTCTTTTGCTGTGTTAATATTTTCTCTGTTCATTCTCTTTCCGTTTCAGGAACGCATGGTACAAATCACGCGTCAAAAACAAGGCGGCCTTGGCTTGAGCATAAAGGGCGGTGCCGAACACAAGCTACCCATATTAATCTCACGCATTTACAAGGATCAGGCCGCCGACATAACTGGTCAATTGTTTGTGGGTGATGCCATAATTAAAGTTAATGGTGAATATATAACCGCCTGCCCCCATGACGATGCTGTGAATATACTCCGCAACGCCGGCGATATTGTTGTTTTAACCGTCAAACATTATCGTGCCGCAACACCATTTCTGCAAAAACAATGTAAGTTTACCAACCCGATACACAGAAAACCAGAACACAGACAAAGGGTATTGGGAATGTTTATAACTGTATAAGGTGTATTAGCCGGAAGACAGTGGTCTTTAAAAAAATGTTCATAAAAACAAATCTATGTATACCTACATACTCATAGACACGGGATGGTCGCAATGGATGGTCTTCTACAGGCTGGAGAGGTACACATTTAAGACCTCCAGCTCATCTAAAGGAAATATTCGACCTCTAGGTCTTCTTAAGGAGTTAGAAGATGTTCATATCTTCTAAAGACCATAGGAGACCTTAAGCTCTTCTAAAGACGATATGAGACCTCCACATCTTCCATAGGCCATAGAAGACCTCCAAACCTATTATAGGCACTAGACACCATCTATGAATACTATGGATACAAGAAGGCATCCAGACCTTCTATGGACACTGGGGGACTTTCAGGCCTTCTGTGGACCATAGAAGACCTTCAGACACTCTATGGACAATATTCGACCTCCTTGCCCTTTATGAACAGGCCTTTTGTAGGCATATAAGGCCTGCAGGCCATCTATGGACACTGGAAGACCTCCAGGCCGTCTATGGACAATATGAGACTTACTTGCCTTCTATGGACAATGGAAGGCCTCCAGGCCTTCTGTAGGCAGTAGAAGACCTCTAGGCTTTCTATTGAAAAAAGAAGAATTTCCGGGCCCTCTATGGATGATAGAAAACTTACAGGTCTTCGGTGGACAAATGAAGACCTCCAGGCGTTCTATGCACAATAAAGGAATTACAGATCCTCTATAGGCAATATAAGACCTACAGGCAATAGAAGACCTACAGGCCCTCTATAGGTAAACATAATATATATAAGACCTACATGTCCTCTATAGACAATAGGAGACCTGCAGGTCACTTATAGACAATAGAAGGACCTGCAGGTCCTTCTAGACAATAGAAGGACCTGCAGGTCCTTAATAGGCACTAGAAGACCTCCAAGTCCCCTTATAGACAATTAAAGTCTTCTAATCCTTTTATGAAAAATAGAAGACCCTCTGGCCTTCCATAGGCAATAGGAGACCTCTAAGACTAAGACAAATAGGACCTTCAAGTTCTCTATAGACAAAAGAAGACCGTAGGCAATTGATGATCTTCTAAAACAAGACCTCAAATATTTCCACCAACATCATCTAGGACTTCTTTAATCTATAAAAAGTCTTTACTTTTCATAGGGCTCTTTTACTATTGGAATAATTTTATTTTTTGACATAAATTTTTGACCCACAGTGCACCTGCTGTTTCTGTATTGAATTGTTCAACCGACCTTGTTATTGCCTTAATAAATTATGGAGATATTTTCTCACTACACAACTGAATTGAAAACCGAAAAAAACCTCTTCATCGATAACGTTAAATATTTATATAACTCTAAAGCAATTTAATTTCCAACCATCCTTTTGCCCTGTTTTTTTTTTTTTTTTTTTTTTTTTTTGTAACTAAGTTCAGTGTGTCAATGGCATGGTGTATTGAATTTTTCATAGTCCTGTGTAAATGGCTGCCATTGAGCTGTGGTCGTTGTGGAACACTCCACCGCATTTGTTTTTCTTTGTTTAAACATTTTATTAACTTAGGTCAACACTTTTCACATGAAACCTTACCATTTAATGACGGCACGTATTTCTGGTTACTGCATTTTTCCTGTGGTCATGGAATGAATAAACTGAGCGGGAGAACGTGTGTCCCTGTGTTCACAATTGATTTAAATGAGGCAATTTAAACCAGTAAGGAAAGCTCAAAAGTCGGGCGGGGCCGACTACATGATACCCTACACCACTATGCATAATTAGGAGAGCTCTCGTAAAAAGGTTTATACTGGGCATTTCAGAGCTGTATCTCTGAACCGGGTTTCTCCAAATTTGACGTATTAGCTTCTAGACTGAATTCGGTCTTATGTACGAAAATTCTTGCCATTTGGGCTGATATTGGCCATTTGATGCACATTTAACACGAAATCGGATGAAGATATATATGGGAGGCATATCCAAATCGGAACAGATTTTAATAAAATTAAAATCAACTATTTTTGGGCTTTATCTGATATCTGGTACCAAATATCATTCCTGTGGAGTGCATATTACGAATGTGAGGGACTTAAAGACCAAATCGGATGAAAGATATATATGGGAGCTGTAGCTATATATGAAGCGATTTTTACTAAAATTGGTGTACTTGCTTCTAAGCTGGTTTCTGTCGGATTTGCTAAAATTGATGCTATTACGGCCATTTGGTGGTCAATCACCAGAAATCGGATGAAGATATATATGGGAGCTATATCCAAATCTGAACCGATTTCGATAAAATTTAAAACAGCTATTCCTGTGCTCCATCTAATACCTGGTACCAAATATCACGGTTGTGGAGTGAATATTACGAATGTAAGGGACTAAAACACTAAATCGGATGAAGATATATATGGGAGCTATATCCAAATCTGAACCGATTTCGATAAAATTACAAACAGCTATTTCTGTGCTCCATCTAATACCTGGTACCAAATATCACGGTTGTGGAGTGCATAGTAGGAATGTGAGGGACTTAAAGATCAAATCGGATGAAAGATATATATGGGAGCTATAGCTATATCTGAACCGATTTTCTCCAAATTTGATATACTTGCTTCTAGGCCGAACTCGGTTGTGTGTGCCAAAATTCAGGTCATTTGGACTGATAGCGGACATTTGGTGCACATTCAACCCGAAATCGGATGAAGATATATATGGGAGCTATATCTAAATTTGATCTGATTCTCACCAATTTCAATAGGGTTCGTCCTTGGGCCAAAAAAATATTGTTTGGAAAATTTCATCTCAATCGGATAATAAATGCGACCTGCATTTTGTTCACAAGAATACATGGACAGACGGACTGACGGACGGACAGACGGACTGACATGCATAAATCGACTCAGAAAGTGATTCTATGAAGGTTCTCAAAAGTAACTATGGGTCTATCTCGTTTCCTTCTCCATGTTACAAACAAATGCACAAAGACATAATACCCTTACCACTATGTGGTGTAGGGTATAAAAAGCATATACCATTAATGTCAAACGGGTTGAAATTATTCGCATGAATACACACACATTACCCCTTCGAATGAATTGTCCATATGAAGTCAATATCCGTTCAATAAACAATTAAATAATAATTATATTAATTAAATAATTAAAATTTTATTTTGTTGTGATTATTATTGAATATAACTAACAAATAGCATCAATTGCAAAGGCTTTTATTCGGTAGGAGTGGTACATTATGTAGTAATAATAGCTGTGTTTTTAAATTCAGCAATTAACATCTGTTGGACATTAATGCACGTTTCAAAAATTGTGTAGGAATGGGTTTTATATCACCCACCTGAAGTGATATAGGGGTAGTTTATCCTAGTGCTCAAAATTTAAACGATTTGAGAGACATATCTCCCTCTATTACTTCATTGCTGAGGGTTCAAACGTCCCTGTAGGTGAAATTCAAGTACACCTAAGTCTGTTTTTACACGGTAGATTGGTTCCAGAAGAAGCCGTGTAAAAAAAAACCGTGTAAAAAAGACATTGATCTTATACAAAAATGGGTGATTTGTTCCTAATCTCTAAAACCTATTAAAATTAGTGAAAAACAAGAATTTTTATTTTTTTCTTTACCAAACACGTTTTATTGCATTAACAGTTCACAAAATATTAACACGTTTCAATTGCTCTGACCAGTAAATTTTATTGTATGCACATAGTGCTATTCACATTTGCTTTGACCAGTAAAAATTGTTTGTACGCGCTAAAGGGAAATTTACTTAAATCTTTAAGCTAGTGTTCGCAAACTATCGATGGTTTCAGACTTTTTTCTTTCATAAATACTTTTTTGTGATATGAACATACTTCGCAAAAATTAAATTTGACAAAAAAATTTAAGTACATAAACTTTCAGATCGTGCTAAATGAAATAAAATCGTGTAAATAAATTAAAAATATTCAATTTTCAAACCGTGTTATATCAAAACCGTGTACAAAAAGACCGTGTAAAAACAGACTTAGGTGTATATTTACTCTCAGAGTTCTCCACTGCATTGGCTGAGTGGACATTGATGTTAAAGTGTGAGCTTTACTTACATTACTTTTATATATTCAACAGAACACTTCATATAAGACCAAAATCAAGAAAAAAATTTTGATAATATTTTGTTGAATTATGGAATCATAAGCGCTTTTATTATTATATTTCCAAATATAGGGTGAGATGAAAAAACTGCAACCAACTAAAGACTGCTGTCATTTCTAAGGCACTCGTCTGACAGCTGTTAAAATTATTCCAGTGACAGCTCATTATATCGTTTACAAGCGTACAAAAGTAATTTGGTGAGAATTTTCCAGAAAAAAATTATTCGTGATGGAATTCAAGCGAGATAGTGTGATTTCTTTATGTTTGCCTGGAAAACCACAAGTGGCTATCGTTAGAGCACTCCAGCATTTGGATGTGCATAAATATTTTGTGTCTCGTACCATCGCGCGTTACCGTGATACTGGAAGTGTAGCCCGACGTCAAGGAAGTGGACGGAAGAAAACAACAACATCAGCAGACATGGTTCGAAAAGTAAAAAAGCAACTTGATCGAAACCCGAGTCGCAGTAGCCGTCTGTCCATATATTCTTATCCGTCCGTCCGTCCGTCTGTCCATGTATTCTTGTGAACAAAATGCAGGTCGCATTTATTATCCGATTGAGATAAAATTTTGCACAAATCATTTGTTTGGCCCAAGGACGAACCCTATTGAAATTGGAGATAATCGGTAAAAATTTAGATATAGCTCCCATATATATCTTCGTCCGATTTGCCTTTTATTGTGCACCAAACGTGTAATATCAGCCCGAATAGTATGGAATTTTGCACATACAATCAAATTAGGCCTGAAAATAAGTATGCCAAATTTTATCGAAATCGGTTCAGATATAGCTATAGCTCCCATATATATTGTTCATCCGATTTGTTATTTTTGTCCTCCGTAGCCGTAATATGCACTCTGTAACAACATATTTGGGGAAATATATCAAATGCAGCTCAGAAATACCTTTGCTAAATTTTATCGAGATCGGTTCAGATTTGGATATAGCTCCCATATATAACTTCGTCCGATTTACCTTTTATTGTGCACCAAACGTCTAATATTTGCCCATATGGGATGAAATTTGACACTTACGACCGAATTGAGTCCAGAAGCTAGTATGCCAAATTTAGTGAAGATCGGTTAAGATATAGCTATAGCTTCCATATATATTGTTCATCTGATTTCTAGTATTTGTTACCCACAGCCGTAATATGCACTCCGTTACAACGATATTTCAGGAAATATATCATATACAGCTCAGAAATATCTTTGCCAAATTTTATCGAGATCGGTTCAGATTTGGATATAGCTCCCATATATATCTTTATCTGATTTTAAATTTATTTTGCACCAAATGGGCAATACAAGTCCGAATTTAAAAGATACAAATGCATCGGCATATTTAGTCCTTTAAACTTTAAATTTTAATTTTAAACATAGCGTGTATGATTGAATTCTCCTATAAAAACTTTTAATTGTTACGTGGAGCTCTAATAAATTAGCAAAGTGGTGTAGGGCATCATAAAGTCGGCCACGCCCGACTTTAGGACTTTCTTTACTGGTAATATTTGTAAACAATGTAATGAGCTGTTACAGGAATAATTTTAAGAGCTTTCGAACGATTGGCTTAGAAATGACAGCAGTCTGAAGATGGTTGTAGTTTTTTCACCTCACCTTGTAGGGGTTCAGGTATTCGTATAACCCCCATACAACAGTACCTTTCTATATTCCATATTTTTATGTCTTTTCCTAGAGAATTGTTTCGAATTCGGCATTTGGTGGTAACAATGGGTAGTACTTCCTATGCAGAAAATCAAAACTATACTTTCATATAGACCCCATATAACGGTACCCCACAATATGCGATATTTTGACGATTGTAGCCAAATTAACAATAGAATTATCTCAATTGTTTTGAGTTCATAATTCATATGGCCCCCATTTAACTGTACCGACAGATTTATGGTATTCTGTTTCATTTTGTCACAATTTTAGCCCGAACTTGCTGTAAATTTACGGTTTTGTCTTCCCAATACCTAGGAAACATCCCTGCAAAGAACTGTCTGTATAGGTCCAAGTTTTTAAATAGTCCCCATAAAACTATACCTCGGTATTTTATTTTAACGGGATTATTTAATACTTGGTGTTTTGAGTTCGTAATAGGCACCATCTTCTCTGGCAGATACATTACTGAATGTTATCCATGTTTTCGTATAACCCCATTGATTATTAAGAATTTTTGTAGATTATAGCGGTATATTTAAACTTATTTTATATTAGGTTGTTTGTGTTTGTTGTTTTTATTCCACATGAGTTATTGAGATGTTGAAGATAATGAATTATACAGGGTTGCCCATATTCGACGGACCCATGACTCTTTGGGCCCATTCCTATCGACGAGGCTTGTCCGCAGGCAACATTCTTTGCGTCAATTGAATTTTGTACGGGAACAAATGCAAATCAAGGCGAATAATCCGTTGTAAAGTGGACCGAGTCATGCCCAACTGCTGAGAACGGCGTTTTTGGGATGTTCTTGGGGACCTCTCAACACTGGCTCGTACGGCAGCGATATTCTCGGCCGATCGCCTTGGTCGACTTTTATATGGCCTCTTCGGATTGGAAAGAGCCTTACCAGTCGAAAATTTTTCATATAAACGCTTAATGTGTGTTCTTAGAAGGCGCACTTCTCAAATTTTTTAATGTTTTAAAAGCACGTTGAGTTTTCACAATTGACTTCTTCTGTTGAAGATAAATTTCAATATTTCGCGTGGCGTGTATTGGTTCATGGTAAAAATCTGCTTGGACTGACGCTTCAAACGCGGTATGTCATTAAGCGATGTGACATCTCTGTCAAAATTTATGGCGTTTCAAGATAGATCCGTTGAATATGGACAACCCTGTACGATAGCATAGCCTGCGTACCTTGGAAAGATCTTCTATGAACAATAGAAACCTTCAGAAGAAAACTTCCAGACCTTAAAAGACCTTTTTACAGTATTAGACCTCCATGTCTTCTATACACAGTAGAATACCTCTTGACCTTCCATAAACAGTAGAAAACAGTTACAGATCTTCTAAAGACACTAGGAACCCTCAAAGTCATCTACAGGCAATGGAAGACCTCGAAGTCTTCTTTAGATAGACAATGGAAAACCTGCAAGTATCTCTCTTCTATGAACCATGGAATACTTTAAGCATTTTTATGAACAATAAAAGACAAACAACAGAAGGACTTAGAGCCTTTATTTGATATGTAACTGCTAGGTATATTTACAGGTCGTTCCACTCAGTTATGCTTTCGCGATCAGCAGATAATTAAGTAAAAACTCCCTCCCAATTGAGCACGGAAACACCTAACTACACAGCAACTTCAAATTTCAGTACTGTTTAAAAATAGATTCAGACCTGCAACTTTCTGAAATAGTTGAATTAGTACTTCAAAGGAATTGTTCACTATTCCTTTTGAGTTTTACTTTTATTTACCAGTTTTAAGTCTCCTCTTCCAGATGTAATCCGAATCGCTGCAAAATCCCATTACTGATTGAAACAACCACATTTAAATCGAAAATCATAAAAATAATAAAAATATGTCCAAATTTATAACCCACAAAATAATCAAATGCCTTCATAACTCAGCAGATGAACAATGCATAGCAAATGACAAATTTATTTGTCATTATGTGGATGCAATGAATATAAACATATAAAATTATATAAATACAATGACAACAATTGTAATTTAATATTTAATATTTAATTATATGAAATAGAGTCCAAGTCCATGTTTGCTTTAATTTTAGTGCTCATGGGCGGACACAACTAAACTACAAACAGCTTTATCAAATTAAATATGCACATGTGTCGATGTCGGTATGTATTTATGTGCAGCAGAGTGTAAATAGTACTTAAAAGTACATTTACATTGGCATTTGTCATTTTGTCAGTTGACATATCTAAGCAAAAGGGTCTGCTGGACACAATGTTTTCTTGTTGTAGGGGCGCTATGAAGTCCCTTAACGTTACATACACAAGGGTATTCAAGCTTAATAATAGAAAAAAAAAACTAGAAGTTCTTGTCTTTGGTTTTCTTGTAATTTCTTCTCTCTTATCTGGAATTAATACTTATGTATATGTATATGGACATTAGGGTTGGCATGTATAAAATATTCAAAATTCAGATTTTTTACATCGAAAAATTAAATTTAATTTTACACCCCATGCTTAAGTATATCCTCTTTCTTAACAAAAATGTTGTCTTTTTTTTTTTTTTTTTTTTTTTTTTTGAATTATTTGTGATCCAATCAACCCTAATACACAACCATAGTGAAATCGTTATTGTAATTTTGCTTTCACTTACATTCTTCTTATCTTCTCCTTCTTTTTTTTTTTTTTTTTTTTTTTTTTTTTGGAATGCAGTGGCAAAAGATACACCTGACTCAGATAACGACACAACATGCGCTGAATTAAAGGCTGACGAAGGATACAAATCCTCAGTGAATAATGGTACCATAAGTCGTAGTTGTAGCAGACCAATGTCAATTTGTTCGGAGCCCGAAAAGAAATGGGTGGACGTTGTGGCAGGTAAGTGTTTGACATACAAACATGGATACGTACATTATGCATACAAACCCAAATCAAAATGAAAGAAATGATCTATGTTGAGGGCAAAAGCGTTGAACATTTAAAAGAGATTAGTAAAACAGATAATTCCTGGAATTTTCAATGAAATTTTGTGAATATTACAATTTTGGTAAAATTGATTTCAATTTATAAATTTATTATTTAGCTGCGGCATATAATAATTGGCTGTAAATTGGGCATTGGATGCACCGAATAGCAACAATTGTGGTTTCAAGAAAATAGTAACAAAATATATTTAATTAAATTTAAAAAAATGTATTAAAGTACAGGGTGAGATAAAAAACCGCAACCAACTTCAGACTGCAGTCATTTATAAGCCCCCCGTCAGACAGCTGTTAAAATTATTCCACTGACAGCTCGTTATATTGTTTACAAGTGCACAAAAGCATTTTAGTGAGAATTTTCCAGAAAAAAAGTAATTCGTGATGGACTTCAAGCGTGATAGTGTGATTTCTTTATATTTGGCTGGAGAACCACAAGTGGCTATCGTTAGACCACTCCAGCATTTAAATGTGAATAAATCTTTTGTGTCTCGTACTATCGCTCGTTACCGTGATACTGGTAGCGCAGCTAGGCGTCAAGGAAGTGGACGAAAGAAAACAGCATCATCAGAAGAATTGGTTCGAAATGTAAAGAGGCGACTTGATAGAAACCCTATCGCAGTGGCCGAAAAAATGGCTCGTGACCTGAACATATCGCAATATTCCATTCGGCAGATATTGTAAAATGAGCTCGGGTAAAGCCATTGAAATTCCAAAAAGTGCAAAAACTTACACCGCAAGTAAATTGACTCAAATGAGCTAAAGAGTTGCTTCGCTTGGCCGAAAGTGTTAAACTGCCGAATTAGGTTTTCTCCGATGAAAAAACATTCGTCGCCAGCAGTTTGTAAACAAACAAAATGATCGTGTTTACTTGCCAAAGAGGTCAGCTGAAAATGCACCCCTCCGGTTGGCCACCAGAACTCAAGCGCCGGCCATGGTGATGGTGTGGGCCGCCATAACAGCCGATGGTCGCTCTACACTCGTATTAATCGAACGTGGCATCAGAATAAACGCCGAATACAGGGTTGCCCATATTCGACGGACCCATCTGGCAACGCATAACTTTTGACAGAGATGTCACATCGCTTAATGACATACCGCGTTTGAAGCGTCAGTCCAAGCAGATTTTTACCATGAACCAATACACGCCACGCAAGCGCTCTGAAATAGTTGAAATTTACAAGAAGTCAATTGTGAAAACTCAACGTGCTTTTCAAAACATTAAAAAATGTGAGAAGGGCGCCTTCTAAGAACACCATTAAGCGTTTATACGAAAAATTTTCGACTGGCAAGGCTCTTTCTAATCCGAAGAGGCCATATAAAAGTCGACCAAGGCGATCGGCCGAGAATATCGCTGTCGTACGAGCCAGTGTTGAGAGGTCCCCAAGAACATCCCAAAAACGTCGTTCTCAGCAGTTGGGCATGGCTCGGTCCACTTTACAACGGATTATTCGCATTGATTTGCATTTGTTCCCGTACAAAATTCAATTGACGCAAAGAATGTTGCCTGCGGACAAGCCTCGTCGATTGGAATGGGCCCAAAGAGTCATCGAAATGGCCGAAGATGACTTGCAATTTTGGAACAAAATGATCATGTCCGATGAAGCCCATTTCACATTGAATGGGACCGTAAATAAGCAAAATTGCCGTTTTTACGCCACTAAAAATCCTCAGGAGATTCAGAAGTGCCTCTTCATGACGAAAAAGTCACAGTTTGGTGCGGCGTTAGTGCGAAAACGGTCATTGGGCCATTTTTCTTCCAAAATGAAAATGGCCATGCTATTACTAATTATTCGTCGAATGCGTATGATGCAGTTCTGGTTTCAACAAGACGACGCTCCACCGCACACAAGTCGCATAACAATCGATTTTCTGAAAAATTTATTTCCGGGCCGTTTGATGTCGAAAAGTGGTGATTTGGACTGGCCACCTCGTTCGCCCGATTTGACGCCGCCTGACTTCTTTTTGTGGGGATATTTGAAGTTAAAGGTTTACGTTAACAAGCCAAGGACCGTAGAAGAACTCAAGGACAACATTCGTGAAGAAATAGCCGCTATTCCGACCTAAATGTTGGCCAAAACGATGGAAAATGCAGCAAAAATGGCACAATACGTCATCAACGCCAGAGGCGGCCATTTGAGAGATATCATATTCAAAAATTGATGTAAACATATCTACTTGGAACAAATTAAATTATTAACATTGCCAACCGCCAATTTTTTATTTTTTTCTTTGATTTAAAAAAAAAAACATGGGTCCGTCGAATATGGGCAACCCTGTATTATCGCGAAAATATTCTGGAGGGTGTATTAAAACCGTGGGAACGCAAACATTTTGGCCACAGACCTTGGACATTCCCACAGAACTCAACACCACCGCACTCAGCACACGTCTCCCAACAATGGTTACAAATTGAAGTTCTTCGCTTCATTTCCAGCGCACAATGGCCACCAAAATCTCTCTCAAAGGTGACCAATTCGAACAATTCTAAACTTATTCCAAAATGTGATGTGTGACGTTATTTGTTCTAAAATTCTAACAGTAACATGTAAAATAGCTGTAAGCTCAACCGGGCCCAATTATGAATATCCTCCACCATTTGGAACGAATTTTTTTATTTTTTTCCATAAAATAAAATCCGTTAAAAATTCTGTTAAAATCTTAAAACTACCAAATGTAGCCATCATATTAGGTGCTAAACGACGACGTGGGCCTGTATAGGCAACTTTTGTCATAAGCCAAATCATCAATATGGGCAGGTACTATTATAGGGGGGGCTACACGAAAATGTGGACCTGCACAGACAATTTTCTGTCATAGGCTTTAGTATCCGTTACGAACTTTAAATACCAAATTTGATACAACTTCGATGAATAATGTCGCTAAAATCATCAAAATACCGAATATCGGGAGGGCTATACGAAGACGTGAACCTGCACAGACAATCTCTTTTCATATGCTTCAGTAGCCATTACGAACTTCAAATACCTAATTTGAAAGAATTCCGGTGTCGCTAAAATCATCAACACCTTAAGTCCTGCAGACATTATATACATTTGAGTAAAATTTTATCAATCTACTTGAATTCGTTCGGAAGCTGGAGTGATTTCCACAGACGGACGGACATGGCTAAACTGACATAGAATTTTTTTATATATATATTTTTTTTGTCTGGGGTCTAAAATGTATATTTCGAGGTGTTACAAACGGAATGACAGACTTAATATACCCTCCATACTTTTTTTTGGTGGAGGGTATAAAAATGTAAAATAAAAAATGCTAAATTTAGTATATATATTCTTGATCAGCGTAAAATTCTAAGACGATTTAGCCCTGTCCGTCCGTCTGTTGTTATCACGCTACAGTCTGAACGAATTAAGATAGGAAGCTAAAATTTTGCACAGATCTCTCTTTTGTCTGCAGGCAGGTCAAGTTCGAAGATGGGCTATATCGGTCCACATTTTTCAATGGAATTGTCTGAAAATACACACAAGTAGTTCCTTGTGGGTACTTTATACCTCGGCAGAGAATTATCTATATAGGTCCACAATATCGTATAGCCCCCACGGTATTCGGTATTTTGATGATTTTAGCCAATTTTTTCAATGGAATTGTCTGAAATTCCACAAAAGGAGTCCCTTGTGGAAATTTTACCCCCTCAAAAAGAATTGTCTATAGGTCCACGATATCGTGTATCCCCCATATAACTGTACCCCCGATATTCGGGATTTTGATGATTATAGCCACATTTTTCAATGGAATTGTCTTAAAATCCACACAAGTAGTTCCTTGTGAGTACTTTACCCCCTGAGAGAGAATTGTCTATACAGGTTCACGATATCGTATATCCCCCATATAACGGTACCCCGATATTCGGTATTTTGATGATTTTACCCACATTTTTCTTCGGAATTGTCTGAAATTCCACAAAAGGAGTCCCTTGTGGGCATTTTACCCCCTCAAAAAGAATTGTCTATATATGTCCACGATATCGTATATCTTCTCTATAACTGTACCCCCCAATATTCGGTATTTTGATGATGTTAGCCACACTTTTCAATGGAATTGTCTTAAAATCCACACAAGTAGTGCCTTGTGAGTACTTCACCCCTGAGAGAGAATTATCAATACAGGACGACGATATCGTATATCCTCCATATAACGGTACCCCTCAATATTCGGTATTTTTATGATTTTACCCACATTTTTCATCGGAATTGTCTGAAAATCCACACAAGGAGTTCCTTGTGGGTACGTTATATCTCGACAGAGAATTATCTATATAGGTCCACAATATCGTATAGCCCTCATATAACGGTACCCCCGATATTCGGTATTTTGATGTTTTTAGTCATATTTTTCAACGGAATAGTCACAAGGGGTTCTTTGTACACAAGGGGTTCTTTGTGAACACTTTACCCCCCGACAGAGAATTCTCTATATAGGTTAACGATAACGTATAGCTCCCATATAACGATACCCCGCGACATTCGGTATTTTGAAAATCCACACAAGGAGTTCCTTGTGAGTACTTTACAGGCAGACATAGATTTGTCATTATAGGTCCACAATATCGTATATCCTTCCATATATCGGCACCTTCCTATATTAGATATTTTAAAGATTTTAAAAGAAATTTTTAATGGATTTTATTTGTTTTTGAAAATTTTCTAATTCGTTCCAAATGGTGGAGGGTATTCAAAGTTCGGCCCGGCCGAACTTACTGCTTTTTACTTGTTTACATTGCAATAATCCGTTTTTTTAATTCTATATAATTTATTCTACATAAATTTGTATATATAATAAAATAAAATAACAAATAAAAAATATAAAAGCGAAACGAGCAGCGAGTTCAGCAAGTAGGGTATAAAAAAGATGTTGTAAATTTAGAAATATTCAGGCAGAATTGAATGTTTCGATTTCCTTCAATTTTTCTACCCAAAATATTCCGTTGATAACATTTTCATCTTTATTTCATATTTACTTTCTCAATTACATAATTAAATACAAATATTTTATTACTGACAATGTGATAGCTTTACATTCTCTCGAATACTTCATTAATGTTAAGGACATATGTATATACATACATGTTGTTATATGGATGTGTGTACACATTCGGCAGTCTCACAATTAAATCCACTGTCCACATTTATCCAAATGTCTTCATTAAATTATATGTATCACTGACTATTTTTCTTCTTCTTCTCTCTCTCTCTGTTCTTTGTCTTCTTTCAGTTCCCCTCATGATGGCCTACGTAACGCGTTACATTTACGGCACCGATAAATTACGACCCAATGCCTTTGAAGTGCGTGGCATAAATGGCACATCGACGGGCATAATACACTGTGATGATTTGGCCATTTTAAGCCAATGGTTGAAATTGATTAACGACAACGTTGTGGGCCTGACACATTTACAGGTAAATAATAAACCAACAAACACACACATACAAACAATCAAATCGAAATAATACATCTGCAGCATATGGCTATTTATTCGTGTTTTTGGGGAGAAAGAAAACTTTGATTGAGTTGACAAATGGGGTTGTGTTCTTTTAGTGTGGGATTTTTTTCGGTGACAAATAACAGCAATGGTGTTAATATTTACTTGGGATTTGTGGAAATTAAAATTGTATTCGATAGTGAAATGCTGTTCTTATACCCTCAGCCATATGGCTAGATAGGGTATATGTCATTTGATACGGTCAAAACGTGCCTAGTCGAAGTAATGGTTTTAGAACCTAGGTCTCTTTGGACCACATCCGTTTCAGTGCATTTGGAGTCGATCTAGCGATGTCCATCCGTCTGTCTGTCGTTCTAGCTGGTGCGTACGATAACTCTTGAAGGGTGTATCCGATTTGGTGCAGATTGGGTACATCGTAATATTTTAGTCAAACTTTGATCCAGTTCAGGGCTGGGCAAAATCACTCCTTCTGATACTTCCCCCACAAAAGGTCGAATTTTTCATAAAATATATTTTCTGCACAGAAAGAGAAGCTATGATCCGATTTTGCTCCAACTTTGCAAATCGTAATATTTACGTCAGTTCTAGGTGAGGTGCAAAAATGGATAAAAACGGCCCACTCCATCAAGTACCTCCCCCACAAAATGTCAAAATTTTGAACAATTACAACTCTTTTAAAAAGTGATGTTAAAGTCCGATTGTATTCATATTTCACACATCTCAATACTTTTGATAACCTAAGGTCCGGTGTTAAGATGGAATACATATTCTACATATATATTCTGCACAGAAAGAGAAGCGATAATCCGATTTTGCCCAAACTTTGCAAATCTTAAATTTTGCATCAATTCTAGGTCAGGTGCAAAAATTGATAATATCGGTCCACTCCATCAAGTATCTCCCCTACAAAATATAACTATGATGCTCATTAAACGTGAAATTAACATCCGATTCCATATAAACTCTTCACATCTGAATATTTCTATCAACACAAGATATGTTGTAAAGGCGGTAGAGATCGGACCATTTCTTCTGTTACCTCCCCACAAAGCCTCAAAATTTTAAGTATCCATGAAGCTCATCCTATTCCATTAAGACTTGGTACATCTCATTATTTCCATCAACGCAAGATCTGTTATATAGATGGTTGAGATCGCAACATTTTTCTGCAACCTCCCCAACATAGAGATCAAGCTTTTGATAAACAAGCCGCTCAAAGAAAGCGAAATAAAAACAAGTAAGCAAAGGCTATAGGCGTGCGGGGCCGACCATGTGATACCCTACAACACTAAAATATGTTCGAAGTCCCCTTATATCCAAATCCATTTTGGAAGATTCCGTTTTTGAAATAATGTCAAAGAGCCCCGCCCAGAGATTACCCTTAGTTTTTTGACCAGCAGATATTTACGCACTCCGTAGTGTTGTTAAGTATTCAAAACAATTTCACACGAAAGATGTGGTCTATTTTAAAGCTAAATAAAATCCAATGGTCATCCAAAATGCTAGACTTCTTCCCTGTCCTTAACTCTCTTCTGATGCGAAATTGTGTCGATTAATTTTCAATTGTGGCCTATAGAGCCACTACAAAATTAGAAAAAAATAATTTTTTAGTCTACTTGCCCCTCTAGATGTAGATCTTAAGAGCGAGAGGCTTTAATCCTGACCCTAACCCTACCCCCATGCAAAATTTCGTGAGGATTGAACGATAATTGCGATATGTATATAATACCCTCAAAACGTAGTGTTGGGGGGTTTAAAAATTTAGAAAATTTACAATTTAAAATTGTAAGTCAAATTGAAAAAACCATTCCGAATTGATGGGAATTGTGAAAATCGGCCCAACGGTTTTTGATTTATAAGCAGAATAAATAAGATACATTATTTTACATATACAGTGTACCTATTTTGCTATGTATCCGATTTCTTGGCTATTAGCATCACTGTAATGGTCAGAAGTGATCTTTTAATGTATTTTTGATTTGGCTGGGATTGAAAATATTTGCAATTTGGTGGGCATTTTCCTATTTTCTTACATAAAAGTTTGGGTCTATTTTACCCGCTAATTGCTGTCCGATGACCGCCCGTATTGGTAGGTTTCTGTCCCCTCCTAAACTCTAACTCCATGTTAATTTTCGCGTCGATTGGTTCATAATTGTGGCCTACAGAACAACTGCAAAATCAGGAAGTGTTTCTGTTTTTGGTCCATTTCAACCCCTAGATATCGTGCGATCCGATCTCGTGAGGATCGGGCTATAAATGCGACCTGAAGAGTGATTACAAATTAACATGGACAGACGGACAGACGGACGGACGGACATACATAGCTAGATCGACTCAGCTCGGCGAGATAGGAAGATCCATATATACATTCCTATGTGGGAAATCAATATTTCGTGGTGTTACATAATTTTTGGCCCAATCAAACTTATAATACCACCAACACATAGTGTTGTAGGGTATAAATATGTATCTGCGAACCTCTTCTGGTATCTCACTCACAATGGGTCACAATTTCCAATACTTTTATCTGTCATAATTAGCAAAACAACTCAACAACTTGATATGAAATTTAGCGGATTTTATGATTTTGCATAAAATTAGATATATACGTTCGAGTTTCTTGTAATTTTTCCCATATCAATATGTTTATTTATATTGATGGAGTATGAAAATGAAATAGTTCGGTCGACTATATCTGGTACCTCACGCACATTTTAACATTTTCTAAAAATTTCCACAGATTTCATACAAGGTGGAGAGAGTAACCAATATAGTCCAAACTTGGCACGTCGCAATATTTATGTCATATGTATTTAGGTCCGATACGAAATGGACAATATAAGTCCATTCCTTCGGGACGTACTCCATAGATGGTCAACAATTTGAAACATCATAACACAAGCCAAAATATATTTACAAAATCGAACATAGGCTGAGAGTATTAATTTGTTTATTTGTATAAACAGTTTCTTTTTTTTAAATATTTTTTAAGGATTTTCTGACACAACATATTAAAAAAATCGCAGGTGTATTGCAAATATACAAATCATACATTTTTATAGTAATTTAATTATTTTTTTTTTTTTCAAAAATTTTTTCCTCACCTGGTGTACAGTTACTATCCCATGACTTCACTGCCTTGCCGTTGCTGTTTTCGTTCATTCGCAACATATTTTCGTTAACTGCAAAATAAACATTCTACTTTATATATATTTGCATTCTTTAAATTTACATTTACACCTGCACTCCACACCCACATATACATATACGCACACACAAACACACATTCACAACGATATTCGCAGATTCATTTACATTCCTTGATGTACCAACAAAAGTTTTGTATTGCAATAAAACAATTTGTTCATCATGCCAACCAACACAAATAAACAGCAACACAGACACACTTCAAAACACACACACACACGGAGACCCCAATACAATATCATGAAATCCCAAGTACTTTTACAAAATTAAAGCCCAACACGCACACACATTCATCGAAGCACAGCAAAATAAAAGGAAACAACTGGCGGCAACTAAAATGGTCCATCAACACTCAACTACAGTCACTTCGTTAACTGGCGGTAAGCCGCCCTAGCCCCCCCCCCCAACAGCAGGTGTATGAGATACAGTTGGACTTCCTACATGTTTGCAGAATATCTACTCTGTTACCGGAAAGTTACCCACAATTCGTGGAATAGCAGCATATTTTGTACTCTGTAAATTTTCAACTCAACTCAACTATGATTTACTATTTATTTATTAAAAGAGTAAAAGTAAAACTTTCAGAGATTTCCTTTTTGGAAATGTGAAGAGTTTAGCATTTTCCCTTACAACGGCTTTGAGCATCTGATGCTGGCAAACGTTTCAAACTCTCTCTTAGTCTTTGAAGTTGATATTTAGTTTTGAAGAATGCTTTGTGACACCTTATAATGGGAAAAGTTCGGCCATCACTGACATTCGATTGCCATCAAAGTTGTAATGGAGTGGACCAAGAAATGTTGAGTGAGGTGTGGTTTAATGTTGAAAGTATCAATAGCTGAAAAGTGGAGTTTTTGTAACCTCAATTTTATGGCTGTAGTGGAAAGCGCTTAATTGAAATAATGGTTTAAGACCTCATGTCTCACCGATCTAAATTCCTTTCAGGACATTAGAAACATTCTAGTCAAGTCCGTCCGAGCCAGTAGACGGCACCACTTGCCAATTGGCGGTATGGCATGTCCCAACAGTCGGCAAACCAAATTTTTTGTAAGAATAATTAATAATAATAATAATAATAATAATAATAATAATAATAATAATAATAATAATAATAATAATAATAATAATAATAATAATAATAATAATAATAATAATAATAATAATAATAATAATAATAATAATAATAATAATAATAATAATAATAAATTAATTCATTAAAATATAATATTTTAGTTTATTTAAACTAATTCGACGTCTTTATTGTACTTTTCTTCAGAATATGGATTGTTGAGGACCTTCACAGACAAAAATTTAATTTTTATTAGAATAAATCATCTTTTTTTAGCGGAATTGTACACAAAGATAGCTGGCAATATATTTGAAGTAAACAAAATACATTTAGTTATAATAGTTTCATTTATTTGGGCTTAAAAATAAAAAGTGCCGACTACTGGGACAAGCGTCGGCCTTAGGCACACTTACCTTATATCTTTTTTCAAAATTCTTTAAATTTAGAAGGAGAGGTTTTAGAAAGAGTATTCGATTATAAAACTTGCTCTAACATAGACGAACTTATTGGAATATTCTAAGCTTGGTAAGAAAACGAAACTCTTTTATCATTGGTTAATGGGCCAATATCCTTCATTTTTGCACCTGATATTAATCATATCAAAATATTACAATGTGAGAAGTTTGAACCATATCTGGTTCTCCCATTGCTCATTATGTGATGTGATTGAGGCTATAGAGGGT